GCTGTCTGGCTCCAAAGCCGAAGCTCAGTGCATGATGTCACCCTGCCTCCCCAAAGAGTGCTGGTCAAGGATGAGAGCTCATTTTCCTGGCTCAGGATGCTTTTCATTGTTACCCTCAATGGAGCCTCTTTTCATTGTGTCTTTATGTGTGAATTAACCAGGGAAGATGAGTGGTGGGAGCTAGTACTCAGTCTGGAGCTAAACTTGGGTCTGTTGCCAGCTTGGATTCTTCGGGCATTCAGGGCAGACCTCTGTTAAGACCACTGTGTTAAGGTCAGAAGGGTGTCTTCTCCCCAACACCCAGACCTGGCATTAGCTGACCTAAATCCCAGCTTCCTGGGAGAGTCATTAAGCATACCTACAGATCACCTGGTCTACAGTCCTTTATGATGCTAAGCCCCCCATCAGAATCGAAGGAAACACTATTGACAGTTATAAAATACTAAATATAGCTCAGTACATTTAAAAATGAACAATGGTAAAAGCCTTGAAAATTTTCTCTTTGATGTGAATGGAGTCTTTGGCATTTGGAAATACAATAAGATGAATTAATTGCTATTCATTACATGGCAAGTCAGGAGAAGTATGAATGTGCCTTCTCTCCTTGGCATTAGCTCTTGCCTGACCAAAATAGCCCCCTTTTGTATTTACTCCTGCTTTCTCTAATAATAAGCAAATTAGCGATCATGGCTAGAAAAATTCAAGTGCTTCATCCTTTCTCCAAAACCAACAGAGTTTTGTGGTGTTTATCTGCTCAGGGGCTACTGCTAGTAATTGCAGAGGTCATGTGAATCCCAGTAGTGCAAGATAAGAAATAACCTGCTTAAGAAAGTTTTCTGTGTTTGGTTTTTCTCTGAGTAAGTGATTATGCAAGCAAATTGCCATCTTTTCCTCTCACACTGTATTTTTATAGTATTGGGAAAGTATATTTGGAGAAAAACATTTCATAGCTATCAGAAGTTTTTGAATCCATGGTCTTTTTAAAAATTTTATGTGCTTTTCCTGATGTTTTAGTGGAATTCCATATGAATAAATTTGATTAGAATCTTTAAATTTTGAAATGATGGCCCCTGGATAAACTGTGTGGAGTATATTAACTTAGTATACTGTTCATGAAAATTCCATGTAGGGCAGCTATATTGTATATGCAAGTTTATGATCTTTCTATTTTTTTTTGGTTAATTCCTAAAAATTGTGAGATAATTGATTCCCCAGAATAATCCAAAGCTGAGGAAGTGAAAGTGAGAGGGGAATAAGACTGCCATACTGTCCAGAGACTGATTCACAAAATGTACTCAACTTTGAAGAGCACACCACCTTAGCCATGTGTGTCTGTGACAGGGCTGCCTGGCTGCTCTCCTGTCATGTATATTACATGTAGACACTTTCCAAACATTGTGTGTATTTCAGCCATAAAAAAGAGGCAGTCATCGGAACCCAGAGTGGGAGCAGCAGCCTCTCTGTGCTTCATGAAATATGAAAGCCTATTTACTTAGTAACAATAACAGTTTGAAAGGCTTCAGGCTGATGAGTTTATGCGTGACACAGCCTGCTGGACCCGGTGTGGCTCAGGCAGTCGGGCTATTGGCAGCATGCTGTGCCAGAAATTGGATAGGGAAAGAAGTCTAATGGGTACTGAGACATGCACCCCAAATTAGATTGCTTCAGTTAGATGGGCCATTTGTTCTTAGCACCCCGTCAACAATTTCAGCCCTATGTTTCCGGTTCCATAAACATTTTCCACAGTTCAGGTCATGGGTGTAAGTTAGGGTTTGGTTGGAAAAGGGAGTTCCGCCTTTTGTTTCCCCACTCCGCAAACATTCACAGAGGGGCTTAAAATCAGAAATAAGGAGTAATCTGTGTGAAGTTGTCTCAGCTTTTCCTAGAACACGTTTTTCTTCACACATGCTCATATGTACACGTGCACACACTCAGAGTATTTATTACCTGTAATCTAAGACATCATAGATGAAAACTCGATGTTGACTTAACAGTTTTTCAAGATAAACAGTGTGTTCGTCCTTTGTAAATCTCATCCCCATCTCAGAAATGTTGGTTTGAAAACATCTGAGAATCAAATTAATATGGAGTACAAATGAAGCACGCATTTTTTAACTTACTTAAGTCTCAGTTACTTGGACAGAACAACGATGCCCCCACCCGTTTCTCTTTTTCACCTGGGGGTGAGTGGTGAGGCTAGAGTGGCATGTTTAAAAAGTCTAGGATATTAGACTAGATGACACAGAGAAGCAATTTACTCAGGTCTGATAGAGTTAAAATTTCTTCAAAAACAGGCATCTATTTCTAGTTCAAAAATGACAGTTTAGAGATCCTTCCATTGAAATCTCTTAGCTTAGCATCCTTCCGTACTCCATTTCAGGGTAAGTGGGTCTACAGCCAAGCTCTCAGTTCTGATTTTGAGGTATACCTGGTGGTGCTTATCATCTGCAAGGTTACTTTAGATTTTAAACAAAAAACTGTAATCGTTTTAATTTTCATATGTGAATCATAGATAAAAGGTGATGTTATAAGATTAAATGAGTAGTCAGAGTGTCTCTACTACAAAAGGTGGTAATTCACTGATATAGACAGTTCAGTCCGTTTGTAGAAAATTGCCTATTCTCAAATAGGTAGGTCAAGTACAGAAAGAACCTCTCCTTGAGATAAAATTTCCTCAGCATGCTTGGCTTTCTCTTATTAGGATAGATGGCTAGGAGCTGCCCAAATTTTAACATCTTGCTCTCTTTTCACAAGGGGTTTTGGTTATATGTATTAAGATGTATTTGCTTAAAATGAAACTCACACTCATAGCTACAAATACTTTTAGAACCAGAGGGCTTTAGAGAACAAGGTGCAGCTCTTTATTTTGTAGATTAAGAAAATTAGTGTTAAATGACTTGCTCAAGGTACTATAAACCATTAATGGCAGGCAGACCCAGGTTTGGAATCAGGTGTCCAGGCTCCTGGGTAGGTAATTATCTTTTACGGGTACAGAGCAAATTGGTGTGGAAAGAGCAATTGATTTGCTCTCCTGCTTTTGAACTTTTGTTTTCATTCAGATACCTCCTGGAATGCTGGGTATAAGAGAGTCAACCCTTACTTTATTTAGCAAAAGAAAAGACCATGTTCTGGAACTGTGTGACATAAACAGCAAAACTGGGGACTTTCCTCCTTTGTTCATTGACTGATGTCCCAGTTTAAAAAAGACAAGTATCAAATTTCCATAAACATTTTGAAGAACTCTTCGGTTAGCCTAGCAATGGGAAGTATCTCAAGTCACCCTAAGAGACTTAGAGTGGGTGACAAAGATGGAGGGAGTTCATTTCCATTTGGACCTGGACTTTGAACTCCTTGGTCACCCCACCCAAGTGCACACAAGCACATCGTGTCTTTGGGCCAGGAGAATCGCCCCTGTCATAGTGTCAGGTCTGAGAGTGACTCCATGACATATTTTTGGAACAGAGCCAAGCCTGCAGCTCTTTTGTAGCCACTCCTCAGAATTTGTATCACCAGGCAAGCAAGAAGTCTGGGCTGCTGTTGGCCCCGCTCCTCTAGCCCGGGCCCTAGAGAACTGTAAGGCTTGTTCCTTGCTGGGGAATGTGCCTACTGTTAACACCTCCGCCTTCGGTTAGGAATCACCCTGATGGCGTTTATACCCTCTCATGAGGGGTTGAGGGGTTGAGGGGTTGAGGGGCTGGAGTCCACAGGACTGGTCCAAAGGGAAGTTGGCAGTTTGTATTGCTGTCAAGGTGCTCTTGACAAGGGAGGGAATAAGTGTGACCGGATCTGGGTTCCCTGCTCAGTGTGTGTGGCTCACCCTCTGAGGGGACGATGGGCAGGTGGCAATCACTGACTGGCGCTGAGTAGGCTCTGTGTGTGTTGGGCTCAGTTTGGCCTTAGGACATTTTCACAGCCCAGTTTATGATAAAATTCCACCAACTCCAAGTTCTGTCTTTTGGGCATCTCATTATCTGAAATGTTTAGGATCTTGAAGGTTTAGGTAGAACATTCAGCAGATTAGCAAACAAAGGCCTCAACTCAAAGAATGCAATCTGACTAGAGGCAGCAGAAACCCCACTCTGGTCGCTTGAGGTCCATCTGTTGGGGACCAGCCATCCTGCAAGCTCCTCATGGCATCACCCAGCTGCTGCATGTCCCCTTACAGGTGCTCATGATGACCATGTGGCATCCCCAAAGGGCTGTTATACAAAGCTCACTGTTTTTTCAGTTGAGAGCTAGAGAAATGTATAAATTACACAATTTTATGCAAGTGTTTACAAGGGGTGATAAAAGCTTGAAAATTTCCATGGTGCTCCTGGCAGTTATGGGGCAGAGTGGTCTCTGCACCGTGGGAGCACCTAATTGATCTTTGTTAGAAGCCCCCAGTAGGTGTCTCGCAGGCTTTCATTTTTTTCTTTTCAGTTTCTCCATTTGGCCTTACCTTTAGCACCTCAGCACGTTTATTCATTATCTGGGAAAATTCCTCTGCTACCTCCCAGCTGGTGGTCAGTGTCTTAGTCTGAAGCTTCCCTTCACCTTCACTCACTGTCTGAACTCTGAATGGCAGGAAACTCTTTATTCTGATGTCACCATTTCATTGCTGCTTTGATCTGGGCATGGGATAGATTGTATAGACCTCCTAGCAGCCAGGAACCGTGACATGTTTACCAAGCATGAAGCCCTGCCTTTATCATCAGGGCCCAGCACACTCCTCATACTAGGGATCTGACCATTTCTCTACCTGTCCTGGAGAAGCCCAGAACCAGCTCGAAGGAGGTGGTGGTACTTCTTGATTGTTGAATTGTTGGTAATTACCCTTCTAGATAGTTATGTGGGTCACACATTCCTCCTAAAATGTGAAAAAAAATCCACACTCCTATGCATTTTTATTGTACCCACATATGATGTGTTTGTATACATATATATTTTTTAAATGAAAAAGAAAAATAACCTGCTTTTGTACACAATCCTTTTAACAAATTCTTTATTGTTATATCCAGGTAACAAGCATGGTAAGTATTTTCACCAAATTGAGTATTCTGTATTTTAGCTGTGCTTGGCAGACTTTTTGGCTAGCTTTGTGTTACCAGCCTTGGCTTTTTTAGAAAAGACCCATTTAGGAAAAGGAGGACCACTTAACCTCATAGTGTCCCTTGTTCTTGGCCATAGAAAGAACCTGTGTAGCCCTAGTCCCCCACAGGGATACCTGAGAAAGCATGCGCCCCGCCAGCATGCTGCTTGGCCCCGTCATCGCCCCCCCACCCCTCATCTGCCCTGCTGCTTCTGAGCCTCCCCAACCACGTGTCCGCCAGGGCCTCCCGGACTGTGGCCCCATGACAGCACAGAAAGACAGGGCCTCCCCATGCTCTGGATGGTCCTACCCCAGGTCCCCAACCACACCTTTTTTCTCACCCCTCCTCCTATCTATATGCTGAAAAGCAGGGCCTCTTAAAAAAATTTCCTTGAGTGTGTTAAGTAATTGGAGAAATCTCCCTTTGGAAGCTGGAAAAATAAATACGTTGTCCACTTGGAGGCTTCCCGTTCTGTTGGAAAATGGATTTTAAAAATTTATTCTAAGCCTTGCCACTGGGTAGTCTCAGCAAATGTTCAGAGTTACAGTAGGTTGAGTGTGTTTTAGCCTTCTGGCTGTGTTTATTTATCCATGCATGTTTGCTTTTCCGGCCTCTCTTGTGGCTCTGTATTTCAGTCCATGTGCTCGTGGCTGTGCCTGTTTAAGCTGCCTGGTAGCCATGTGTTATATATTAAGTCTGTGTGTCACTGTCACCTTCAAGGATCAGACTGCAAAGGATAAGGCCCTGCAGCACATGGCCGCCATGTCGTCAGCCCAGATTGTATCGGCCACTGCCATTCACAACAAGCTGGGGCTGCCTGGGATCCCGCGCCCCACCTTCCCAGGGGCGCCGGGGGTAAGTCACGAGCCAGACCCAGTGATGATGGCCCCGGGCGCATGGGGTTGCCATGGGCCAGCATGAGGCTGTCCACCTGGTACTTGTTATTGTATCAGGTGCAACAGAGGGAAAGACCAACTTGTGGTGAACTGATAGACCATAGACACAAACTGGGAGAGAAACAAAGGAAAGGAGTTGGAGAGAGAAGGGGAGGGGTGGGGGAGAGAGAAGGAAGGTGAAGGGACCCTTAGTCCCTGAGGATGTGGAATTAGTATCACCTTTCTGGTGCCCTTCGGGGCTGTGATCTGCCTCTTTTCCCTGGTCTGGCTCTGTGTCCTCAGGGTCACTTTATGGCAACTAGCCCCTCAGGGACCAAGTATTCTGTTACCATTTTCATTTTGTACCTACCAGGGGCTGAGAAGCTTAATGCTATAATTTCATTTAATCCTCACCTGGATCCTAAATGCCTCTTGTTGCCATCTTACAGATGAGAAAAAAGAAAACTGAGGTTACTGAGTAACACAACAAGGGTTTGAGCAGTTTGATCATGATCAGGTGGATAGTGACCTCGGGACTCAAAGAAAGCCTTAAGACTTTCTTAAGTACCTTCACATGGAGCTGCGGCTCCAGTGTGAGTCAGCATGCACCAGAAGCCGCAGGGAAGCTCACAGCAAAGGAGGTGCCTGCCTTGCTTCTCAGGGTGCCTAGCCTCTTGTTTGGAGCTTTGTCCTCTCCTGGTAGTGCCCACGGCACTGTGACCTGTGGAGGCAGAATATCACACGAGTGTTTCAGAATGGAAGGGATAAAGAAGGACAGGTGGGAGCGTGGATAAAGCAGGCAGCTGAGGTACTTGTGGACGCTGGGCCCTGCACCTAGGGCTCGGTGACGTGCCAGGAGAACAGCGAAGAACTGCTCTCTGGTCTCTCTGATTATCTGGAAGAGGAGCTAGAGGGGGGCCTGAGTTGCCAGGTCAAGGTTACAGGTTGTGGGCAGCAGTGACACACCTGTGTTTACAGGAAGGGTCCCTGCAGCTGGAGGTGATCTAAACCCACTGTATTTAGCAGGGGTTGCAATGCACAGACATCCTGAACTGTGCTTTGAAAGGAACTCGTAATCCTGAAGCCTCTTGCATTTTGCCTTCCAGTTCTGGCCGGGAATGATACAAACAGGGCAGCCAGGATCCTCACAAGAGTAAGTCTGAGGAGGGGCCGGCGTTGACAACAGGGGACCAGTCACAGCCCACCCTGGTAGCATTTTCTCAGGACCAGACTGCCTGGGGCTTGGGAGAGCAAGGACATTTAACCCAAGACCACCAAAGTCATCCCCCATTGTTATCTAATGGGGTGGATGCAGCAAAGACACAGCTCAGATCTGGGAGGTGTAAGCTCCTCACTCCCATCTTACGTCTTAGTGGTCATCCAGCTGGAAACAGGAGGAGGGTCCCAGCCCTTCATGGCTTTGGAGGACAGAGCCTGAGGGGTCTTACTGCAAAGAACCTTCCTAGGAGAGGGCAGTGGAGGTGACCCGATAGCCCATTCCATTCAGGCTTTTCCTAGGGGAAGGACAGCTATTAGAAAATCCTACTGATGCTTTGAGGGCAAGGGAAGCCAGTTCAGGAAACTGGACGGTAAGGGTAGACTGGGATAAAAGCAGAAAGGAAATCCTGCCCATATATTCTCAAAAGAACTTGAGCCGTGTTGGCCTAGAGAAGGAGAACCTGAAGCATGTCCCAGACTTTGCCTGAAACTGGTGACCACTGACCTTGGTCTCTGTAGGGACGGGAGGTTCAGAGTTAGATGTCATAGCATGGGCAGGTCAGGCTGATGTCTATCCCCCTCGACCACTGAGCTGGTGTGAGGCTTGGCAGTTTGGTCTCAGTGCTTAATTGGAGAGAGTAACCGGTTCTGTCTTGGTGGGGCCCTGCCTGGGCTGTGCTCTCACCTACAGCAGGGGGCCTTTCAGTTGGGGGTGGGGGGGCTCTGGTCAGGTCCTTAACCCTGGAAGGCCAAGACCAGGCCTGGGGAGCAGCAGCTGCAGTTTCTGATAGTCTCCACCCCTCTGTCCCCAGCGTCAAGCCCTTCGTGCAGCAGGCCTACCCCATCCAGCCAGCGGTCACAGCCCCCATTCCAGGTGAGTCTCCGGGGGGCTCCCGCATGGGGGAGGGCCTGCACAGCTGGCAGCCAGGCTCTCACATTGTTACACAGCCGCACATTCCCTTACCTGCAGAGCCATGGACACCGCTGCTTCGACCTACCCTCCTAAAGCAGGGTTAGCCTGGAGCTCAGGCAGGTCATGGGTGTCTGAGCCCCCTCAGTCACCTCCCAGGAGCCCTTCAGATAGGTTTTTTTTTAAGAAACAGAGAGCCTGGTCCCTTCAACTCAGGCCCCGGGCTTATCTCTGGCAGAGGACATGACTGCAGGTCCTTCCTCCTCAGACACAGGCCGGATTGGGCAATCCAAGTCTTGAGGGCAGATAGGGTTTTACTCACCCTTTTTTTGGATAAGTAGGTTTCAATTACAAGTACCTTTGTTTAAAGGAGAGCTTCCACGGAAGCCCAGACTTTAAAATGTGAATCCAGCCGACCCACCTGCTCCCGCCACCACCACATTCACAGAGTTACTCAGTTGAACTGCTCTCCATTATTGAATTCCCAGGCTGAAAATGGCATTCATTCTGTGCCCCAGTGCCATGGAGCATTCTGAGAGAATGTTCTATGGTGCTGATGACTACAGTCTGAAGGGAGGTGCACAGACACGAGAAGTGCCCGGCTCGCCGCAGCTTGCAGGGGACCTTTGTGAAGCTTCACTTCTGACTCTTGAGCTCCTCTTGCCGTGATCCCCAGTTAGGCCCTTTTGTCCAGGATGAGGTATCCTCATGCCACAGCCCTCAACCTAAGATGAAATTGGCATTATCTGGAGCCAAGTGTGTGGTGCTTCTGTGGCTGGCCTCTGCCTCTGGGATCCTTGGCCAGAATCCCACCACCACCTAGGCTCTGGTGGAGGGGCTGTTGGCCTTCTTTCTGGATCATCTGTTTGGTAGGGCCTTGCCCGTGTTGGCCTGAGGCCCAAGGAGAGGCAAATGGCCAGCTTTAAAGGTGATCTTTGGTCTTACAGGGTTTGAGCCTGCGTCAGCCCCAGCTCCCTCAGTCCCTGCCTGGCAGGGCCGCTCCATCGGCACAACCAAACTTCGCCTGGTGGAGTTCTCAGCTTTCCTCGAGCAACAGCGAGACCCAGACTCGGTGAGTTTGCTCGGCGAGGCGGGCCTTGATTCCAGGGCTTGCTTCCCATTTCTGTTCACCCTCACACTGCTCTCTCTCTCTCCTCTTCCCCTGCCCTTGTGCCTGACAATTAGTGGACTTGCAGAACAATAGCCAAGCAGCCTTTCAGTGAAGCAAAAAGGTATTTCTGTTGACACATACGTAGAATTTTAACACAGAGTGTTTATGGATGCTCTGGAGCTGAAAGGAAGGACCTTAATAGGCTCTTGTGTTTAGTAAAGTGTAACAGCAGGTAACATTCATTGAGCCTTGCTGTGTGACTGTAAAGCTAGTTATATATATGGTCACATTTTATCTTCACAAAATCCCTCTAATGGTTGGTACTGTCCAAGGAAACAGAGATGTTAAGTCATTTCCCTCAAGTCACACAGTTAATGTCTGGTGGATTAGAGATTCAAAGTCATGTCTTTAAAACTCAAGCCTAAACATTTAGCCATTATTCTTTCTGTACTGCCTTTCAAAGTCTGTGTTTTCTCAAGATTAGCAGGTTATCTTTTTAACAGGAAGTAACCAACTGGTATTTAGTGGTTTGGCTTAGAATGCAATGCACTATGTATAATACTCATAAAAAGCAGTAACATTGGCATCTGGACCTATTTGTCATTTGCCTTCTTTTCTATCTCCCCGCCCCTCTAGTGCCCATCAACCCATTGTTTCCCAGTCGGGCCCACCATTTACGTCTGTGAGCCTCCCTTCTTTCCCACCCACCAAGCCCAAGACCCTTTCTTCACTCCCACTCCTTGGCTGTGAGTCTAAACATTGCATCTGTATGTGGGTGAGCCCAAGGCAGAGAAGGAGAAATCCTGAGTTGGTCTCCAGGATCCTCACCAGCTCCTTTCCCTAATCTCCATCTCACCCCACTGCACTGATTTCAGGGGCCGCCCAAAGCACAGAGGTCCCATCGTTCGTGTATATGCACCACCTTGCCATCATTCTGTTACCAGGAAAGAAGTGTCATGGATGGATTTGCCTTCTGCTGTAAATTAACTAAGATACTGAACTATTGGAGGCAACCCTCCTGGGAGTATTGGTACTCAGCTCTGATGGCAGGAGTGGGGAAACGCTGTGAGTGAGGGATTTCTACCAGCCCTCGCCAGAGTGGAGACTAAGGGATCCACATGTAGCCCATCGACATTTCTGCCTATGAATTGTGAACTCTTGGAGCTGGTAGAAAAATAAGCCATGCTCCAAAATTAGGGGGGAAAAAAATGAAGAAAGAGATAAAAAGTCTTCTTGGGCCTGTCAAGGCAGGTACAGGAAATGAGGTTATTGAGGCCAAAGAAGGGAAGGCCGGTTGATCACTCGCAAGTGGCTGAGTAGTTTTATAAGGAGGGCGATGGTGATGGCTTAAACTCCTTATTTGTAAGGGGTATTGAAATTAAAAGATTACCTTTGTGATTCTTTGCTCCCTCTTTCTGGAAATTGAAGTGATGCTTTGGCTAAAGGCTGAGCGTTAGCCCAGATAACACTTCTGCTTTTAGTATTCATGTTTGTATGACACCTCATTGCCTACAGAGTACTTAGTAGTTGATTATTTCATTTTGTCATAGCACCCTGCGAAGTAGGTTCTGTTTCCCCCATTTTACAGATGAAGAAACTGAGGCCCAATCACATTCAATGACTTAGGATATTTAGCCAATAAGCAGAGGGAACAGGAGCCCAAATCTATTTCAGTGTAATCTTTGTACTACTCTAGACCACCACTAATTTTGAAGGTCTCTTGAATTGTGTATTCAGTCTACACCTCTCTCTCTCTCTGCTTGCAACCATTTTTTTTTTTTTTTTAGGAATAGATATCTAAGGCACTGGGAAGCAAAAGCTCCAAGATTGTAGTTGTTTTCCTCATTTAAAAAACTAGAATATTTTACACAATAAAAAATTTTGTTTTAATTTAAAGAGCCCATGGCAGCCCCCTCCTTGTGACTTTTCTCTGCAGTTATGGAACTGGGAAAGCCCACGAGGCCCAGTTCCTCTTTCTGTTGTGTCAGTGTTCATTGGGCTTCACACTGCATCACGGATAGGTTCATTCTCCCCATTCTATAAACACTCAGGAACACCTGTATGGACAAAGCGCTGGACCAAGGAGGGGCCTCGTGCTGTGCAGCCACTGTCCGCCCCGTGGAGTGTCACATCTATAGCAGGAAGACACAAAAAGCAGTAATCACACAAGAAGTCACCGCAAAGTGTGGTGACTGCTAGGGAGGAAGAATACTGAATGCTGTGAGTAATTAACAGGAAATAGGGCAGATTTCCTTGAGGCAGTAACCCTAATGCTGAGACGTCGAGGTCTGATACGGGTAGGGAAGAAGAAGGGAGAACAATGTTCCAGAAGCAATGGCTCTGAGTGTACAAAGCAGTTAAGTGAAAGTCGATGAATAGTTCAGGAAAGGCAGGGCCCACCAAGTCCAGAGATGTGTTTCTTGTGTGGTCAGGATTACACATAATAATCGGAAGGGTTCACCTGGATTTGGCCTTCCTGATGAATGACAAGCCTTGGCTTTGTAGATTGAACTCCAACACATGACTTCAAACGTCCTGAAATCAATACAAGGCCTGGAGTGAGTCGACACCCTTTGGCTTCTTGAGAAAATAATTGTATTTTAGGGGGACATGAGTTGGGAGACTGAAAGAAATTCATTCAGTAAATACTTCTTAAGCATTTACTACATGCCAGCCACTGTTTCAGGTGTTAGGGATTCAAGAGCAGAGAAAACATAAGTCCTCACTCTCATGGAGGCTCTCTCTTCCAGTGGAGAAGACAAACAGGAATCACCCGCCCGAGCTACACACACAGTATGTGAGCTAATAGTAAGTGCTTATGTGAAGCAACTGTCCTGCTTCCCAGTCGAAAGTTACTTGCTCTTCAGATCTAAAAAGTATCATGCCAGGAAATAATAATAGCTTCTGATATACAGGTTGATGTTTCTAGCATATTATGATTTTAAATTAAACCTATCAGATAATGCCAACCAAAGTTGTAACACCATTGTGAAGTTATTTTCCTGTATAACATCAGCCTCACTTGCTAGTGTCACTTCTAATATTCCTGTGCTATGAACACTTGTTTTGCAGTGACGTACAAATGAATTTAATGTATTCAAGTGACTGTGTGACAGATTGTGAATAGCATATGTGTTTGATTTTAGTGGAAACATGATGGCCTGAAGGATGGTGGTTGTGCTATAGGAAGTGGGAGACCTTGAAAAAAAGATGATTGAATAATTCTAAATGGGGAGAATTAACAAATGATTTAAAGCATTTTGACACTATCTGAAGCACCAGCTTCTCAAATTACATCATATGTGTTTTATTTTGCAAACACAAGTTGCTACAAGGACCGTGTAATGGCACTTCAACACCAAGGTCTCATTGCAAAACTTGTAGCATATGGCTTCTTTGCCTCTCAGACTTTTTGGGGCTTCTCACACTTTAATTTCACTTTTGTGCCTCAACTGTAGGAAAACTTAAAGCCATCAAAGATAAATCCCACTGGTACATTTTAACAATGTACCAGGATATAGTGTACTTAAAATTTAATGTCAAACATGAATCATTAACTTGATAAGGAAGTCAATGAAGTGACAAATGAAGGCCTCTAAACAAATTAAACTCTGCACTTGGGTTCTCCAAACCTTTGTCTACAAGAGCCATGTGCACACATTTCCTCTCGCATGTTTATAACAGCCTAGGCTCGCCAGAGTGATGGGGGTATAGGTACTGCTGACTAACTACACTGATCAATTAATGAGCCAGGAGCACTGCTATTTTCATTAGGGATTTCTTTCTTCCTTATCAGCCCTGAAAGGTAGGTAATTCTATTCCTGTTTCTGGAAGAGGCTTGGAGAGATTGCTATCTTACAGCCAATCAGGGGCTGTGGCCAGGACTGGGCTCTCCTCTGCTTGGTGCTCCGGGAGATAAGGTATGACTGCATACTTGGGTGGCCACAAAGCCAAGAGGAAAACCTGGTTTGCCCAGTTCTCAGCCCCCTGTTGGCCTCCTCTAGGACCAGCTCTTCTAGAAATTCACTCGGGTTTACTACATGTCACCATTGCCACCACCATGGACCCCATGACTCTGCCGTGGTGGCAGTGCACGTGCTAACAGAAGTGCCGTCAGTGGTAGCAGTTTTGGTGACAGCCACCACTCTGCGTTATTTTATTTAATTCCATGGTTTAGCCTGCCAGTGTTTGGCAGCTAAGGGACACTGGAAATGGGATTGAGATCCAGGTCTGCTGACTCTGTGTCCTGAGATTGTGACCAAAGGTTGTAGGATCCATGCGTATCTGAAGAGTGTTTTGTGGCCTGTTATCTGTAAAGCGCCAAAGGAAGACTGATCTGGGGAGGGCCCTAAAGAAGGATAATCTGGGGGGTGAGCGCCCCCTGCTGGCTCTGCACCATGTATCAACCAGACGGCGGCATTTTCCCAGTTGGTGGTTGTTTACATTGGTGGAGAACCAGCAAGTCAGTCAGTCCCTCTGTTACCTTTGGCTTCACTAGAAGCTAAGAGAAAAACAGCAGAGGGTGAAGAAAGGAAGCAAGAACCTAAAAACAAAGACTATTTTAGAAGTGGTTAGTAATGCTTGGAAATACACTTTCTGCAAAATTTCAATGTTGCATATCGAAGGACTTCAACTATTAAGTGCAAGATCCTCCCCCCAGGGTGAGCTGTTTAAAAGTACCTCTCCTGAAATGGGGGCCCAGTTCCTAGGAGCTGAGTTAGGTGGCTGCTCCCCTAGGAAAATGAAAACCTGGGTGAAGTTAAACTGAATCCTGTACGTGCATGGAGAGTGATTTTCCTGATAAATCCTAGCAGAATTCCTCCACCGCTACCCTGGCGCCTGGCAGGTTCCTTTCTTGCCCTCCTCCACCCCCTGCAGCCCAGCCACATCCTGCTCCCCAGCTGGCAGACCCCTGCTGGTTCAGACTTCCCAGGCAATAGGCTGTCTGTTTAAGGCCTGTT